CACCAGCATATGAACTTCTGTACCTCACTTTTAGTCTTTCAGGCTCCTCCACCCTCCCTTTGTTGAGCACAAGACGCATTCTTCTGCTCCTTGCTAACCTCTAGGCCTGGGCTTAAGCAAGACGTCTGTTGCAACTGTCCCCCGACTCCACCTGGTCAGTGGGGTTGTGGGATCATTTCCTCTGCTTCTGTGCATAGGGGTGCGCATTGTGTACCAGTGTCTGCTTGTCACATGTGAAGATTGCACAGCTGTCTATATTTGCCAGTTGGAAAGCTGCGAGCGGCAGCAGATTCCCTGCAAGTGTTCAGCTGCCCAAACTGTCATGCATGACATTCACACAAGGGTCTAACTATGTGAATGTACACCCCCCCACACACACACTGCATCAGAGATGCATAGACCTTGCTGGGTTGTTGGAATAAACCTTAGTAACAACAGCAGCAGCAGCAATTTTATTATTTCTATGCCACTCATCTGGGCTGCCCCAGCCACTCTGAGCAGCTCCTGACAAAACATTAAAAGCAATACAACTTGTAAATGGAAAATAACCATTGCAAGGGAAAGGAGCAGTAGGGCAGTGAGATGTTAGGTGGGAAATGTGTGGGCTTGAGCTTTCGAAGAGCTCTGCCAGCAGCCTTCACTTGCATCAGCTGGTCTGGCTGCAATATTCACTAAGTGAGGGCAAGGAGCATTCAGAACAGAACAAGGCTGCTTTGTCAAGGTGCTGATTTCTGACTTGGTCCTGCAGGCTCCTGGATGCCTTTGACACCGTGCCAGGTCATTTGACAGAGGACCTCCACCTCTATTCCTTGAATGACCTGAGTGCCACCAAGAAAGGGGAGCTCGTTCCTTGCTTGACAGAGCTCCTCAAGGCAGGTACCCAGCACGTTGAGAAATGCATGGTGGGTAACCTTTTTACTCCCCCCCCCCCCTTTCAGTCCCTTCCCGTCCTCCCAATTTGTATTATATTTGTTTCTCCACTGGGTCAAGTTTCGCACAAAAGCCATGCAGGGAGACCTGGATTTTCCCAGGCAGTATTCTGGGTGTGTGTCTGGGTGCCAGGGAGGCTTATCTTAACCCTTCCTTGTGAGACAGCTTGAGCTGCAATCTCTATGAGAACATTGGTGGAGGAACTTAGAATCGCTCTTGCGCACAGCGGAGAGGGTAACTTTGGTAGACTTCTTGTAATAGAGAACCACCTGCACTGCTAAATTGAAGCTGGGATGAAGCTCATTTGAAACACAGTACCTGTTCTGGCTTCTCCCACATCTCCCCTCACCCCCACCAGAACCATGGGAGTGTTGGCATGGGGACCCTGCAGAACAGTATGGTGTGGAGGACTGCAATAGGTAATATGGGGGGGTGGCCCAGGAAAAGTCACTCTCTACGGCATTGGAATTCCCTCCCCACAGAGGTGTGTTGGGCACCTTCGTTCTATGGTTTCTGTGGCATTCTGAAGGTGCTCCTCTTTATCCTAGCTCTTGACACAAGGGAAGTATTTTCAGGATCCACCCTGTTCCTGGGACTGGAATTTGTTTCAGCTGTTGTAAATACTGAATTATAAATTGTTGTGACCAGCCTTGGACCCTGGGTAGTAAATTGAAATTATAATTTAATTGACTGCAACAACAGCAAATCCTAGTGCAGTGCCATTGTTGGATACAACAGTATGTAATCACATACACAGTCTTGCTGGGATCCAACCTTCACGACCTGTAACCCATATATAAGGGCACACACAACAACAACTGGTTAAGATGTGGCAGAATTATTTCTGTGCTGCAGATTGGGTGGCCAAAATTGCTTGCCTAAAGCCCTCAATGGCTGAGGCAAGATTTTCATTGGGGAGATTGTGATTCCTTGGCGATGGTAGTTAACGAGATGGCAGGTAGCTTTGTTAAAGATCACTTGCCACTTTTGTGGAGCTACAGTGCCCAGCGCTAAACAGATGCCCAGGGAGGTTGCTTGAGGGTGGGGCAAGGACTCCTTGGCAGGGCGTTTGTGTGTCTCTGTGTGTGCACATGCTGCAGATCCAGGGCTTCTCTGTTCCTTCAGAAGTGGGGTTGCAGCTTCTGCTGGGCTGTTCTCCTTCACTCCCCTCCGCTTCTTCCTTTTCTCCCCCTCAGCTGTGCCAGGCCAAGGGCTTCATCTGCGAGTTCTGCCAGAACGAGGAGGACATCCTCTTCCCCTTTGAGCTGAACAAGTGCAGGACGTGCGAAGGTGAGAACAGGAGCCGCATCCCCTGCGGCTGGGTGTTTGGAACGCCGAGTTGATTTTGCTAGTTGCTCATTTCCCTCTCCCCTTGCAGAATGCAGAGCCTGCTACCACAAGGTGTGCTTCCGCTCAGGACCCTGCCCCAAATGCGAGCGGCTGCAAGCGCGGAGGGAGCTGCTGGCCAAGCAGAGCATGGAGGCTGACATCTCGGACTACGAGGAGGAGCAGGAGGAGGAGGCAGCCGTTGAAGGAGCAGCCACGTGACAGATGAGAGGCTGTGACTTGGTGCGTGGCCTCTGCCTCCAGGGACTGAACTGACAGAGAACTCAGACTGACTCTTCCACAGCTAATAAGCCAACGTGATGGGAGCCTTTGGGGGGGGGAGTCCCCCAAAGGGTTATTTTGCACTTGCCTTGGGAGGTTTTGGTGCTTCCCTTCTGTCTGAGCCACAGGACGAGGGAGAGAGAGACTTGCTTGCTGTTTCCGCCACCAACTTCGATGCACTGTGGAGCCCAGCTTCGCTGCCACCGCAAAGAAAGTAGCAGCTGGCTTTGCCTTGAGCGCCTGAACTTCTCTCCACATGCCACTTGGGAGAAGCCGGTGGGTGATGCTGGTGGGCTTATGTGGCTGAGCTCCTGGCCGAGTTCCAAAACACTACTAAAGGGAAAACGGCCCACGTGGAAACTTGTTATTTTCTGTATTGGCTGCTGTGTGCCAGAAGAGGCAGCTTTTATGTTTTTCTTTTGCCAAAACCACTGCCTACTTCGCTGCTGAATGTCATTTATCTGGCCCTCATTTTTTGTGCCTGAAGGAAGCCAGAGAACCGAAAGGGGCATTCAGCCTGCCCTTTTATTTTGTCGGGAGCTGCCTAGCTACAATAAATACTGGGGGTGTAGAAAACCTGCTGGTACCTAGCGGGGTAAGCGGAGGAGGGGGGGGCGATAGTTGGCAAACCCAAGGTCCCCACAACTCTTCTCAGAATAATCTGCCCACACACCCCAACGCCCTGTTAGAGAGGACCTAGCTCCTGCTTCCTTCCCTACCACCCTTTCTTCCAATTTGCCTAAAAAGTCTTTTTCCTTGCAAGGGAAATGTGGGTTGGCAGCTTGCAGAAATAACTGTACCCTTCCAGGATGCTGGATTTGGCAGGGATTCCAGTTTAAAGCCTAAATAGGGCAGAGCCTGGGGCTTTCCTATTGTGGGAGTTAACCTCTGGGCTCTTTCTGACACTTTTGCAACGATGCATTTGCTTTTCCTGCTGATATTTCTGCTGTTGACACCTAAACTCTAGGACTTACCCGGCTTTGATGGTAAATTGGTAGGTGCCTTTTGTTGTTTTAGGGTACAGGAGATTTCCCATTACTGGTCATGTTTCATGATCAAGCAGGCCATGAGGCTGGAAAGGGGCAATTATTTAGTAGGATGGGGGGCAGAAAATGGTGCTGAAGATTGCAAGTTCATTTCCTCCTTCTTGCAGAAGCATGGCAGGGTCCCTAGGAGCAGAGCTTAAAGCAGCCTTCATCCTCCTGAAGTTTAGGCTCAGTGGGAGCTGCAGTCCTGGAAGGGGTGCTAAACTGGAGAAGACGGGCTTCTAGCATGCTGGTGAGGTGGTGCTCTCTTGTTAACCACCAGCCATTCTACTAGAATTAGGGGTTAGCTGACTTGTTGCACTGAATATGGCTTGGGTTCATTCAGAAACAAACAAAACTTCCTTTCCTCATATTAATAGGTGAGCCTCTTTGTCAGATTCCTTTAATTTGGTACTTGAAATGTGGCTGTGCTTTATAATCAAGTAGGGTTCTTCTACACCAACTAGTCTATATAGTCTCTTCCCTGCTCCTGTTTTGAAACGCTTTTTCCTGGCACCTTCTTGCCCACCTCTTCTTCCTCTACCTTGTTCCTCAGCAGAGAGGTGTTCATCAGCCCTGCTTAATCTCCAGGAGTCTACCTTGTCTCTTAATCTCCAGGCTTTTTCATCGGGGAATATCTGGCCTGTGGGGCTTGCTGGCAGCACTGGCAGCAAGTCCTGCAGGATCCAGAACGCTGCGGTGCAGCCCTGCTTTTGGCACAGATCTTCCCTTTGCAGTCTGGCTTTGATATAAAGCCAGGCTGCAGAGGAAGAAACAATTGAGAGCGCTTAAAAGAACCCTTTCAACATTGGGTCGTCTTGTCAAAATGGCCTGCAGGGGCGGAGAAACTTGGGACCTGGCCTGTGCTGTGTGATTGGCAGGATTATTTTACGCTACTTCATCCCCCCGCTGATGCTGGTATTCCTTTTATGGTGAAAGCACTTCACACCCTTATTGACTAGGTGTGTGCTCACAAACTTCTCCCAGACTCCTCTATGTGGCAGTTCCTGTGCAGGGGGAGAATAAAATGGGAGGGCCTCTGATGGCTGTGAGAGCAGCCTTCTCCTATCCTATGCTACTGTATGGCAGTGTACCCAATTCTGTATACGGTGCTGTTCCGTAACAACCTCCTAGCAGAGCACCTTGTGTGGTGTGGTCCTTCAGAGTACTCTCCTGTGTTGCTGGCTAGAAGCTGGAGATTGTATTCCTTGCAATATGACCAGACTTTCAAAGTCAGCTGGTTCTTGGACGTTTGAAGTGGCCCAGTCTGAAAGGACAGTTGGTTTGTGGATGTAAGTGAGGGTCAGTGTAGTCTGTAGGTAGAAATGGCATGATGTCTTGAGGAAGGAGGTGGCGGCATTTTTGGCGTAGGTCACTCAGCTAGCACACAGCAGAATCTCCTGCAGGAGGCAGCATATGTCCTTTTGTGCTGGCCTAGACTGCAAGACCCATTTTCTAAAGATGGATAGCAGTGTCATTTTGGCTACTGTATTTTTTTAACTATACATAATACACTAGAAAAACCCTGACCTAGATAAGCATGACATACAGTTGACATGCGTGCAAAATGACACTGTGATGCTGTGAAGATTTACTTAAAGAATGCTATATAAAGGTAGACTTCCTTCTATCTGCTTTTTCTATGAACAAGATTTGAGTGTTTGCAGTGTCAGGAAGTTGCCCACTTCTGCTCAGACACGGCCTTGGAAGGTGTTGCTCTGTGGCTTCCACTTGCTTAATTCAGTGGCACCCTTTTTATGCCCTCCGGCTTAGAGCCTCAGCCTTTTGCTGCTGCTTTTGGCAAGGCTGAAATATCTCTGTGTTATTTTTTTAGCTCCACGTGTAGTTTCCTCAGAGTATGCCCACGTCCAGAATTTATAAAGGAAATGTTGAAATAATTGACTTGGGGTATGTTCAGAAACAGTTGGTGGTTTGGTGAACTAGCAGTCTGGAATATGGGTGATTGAACCAGCTGAAGTGAAGGAGCAAGGAGCTGGGAACACAGGTTAACTCAGCAGGGTGGATGCTTGCATGATGGAGATGGGGGCAATCCACAAGCACCCTGTTGACTGAACGCCTTGGGTGTTTGTGGGTTGGGCATTATCGTGAGAGGGTTCTTGGTGTTCAGTGGCAGTGGGACAGTCCATCCACCTCACCCCACCCCACCCTCAAAGACAGGATTTGCTGTGTCTCAAAGAAAACTGCGGAACCACTCCTCCCATTTCCTGTGCCTTCACAATTCCTACAGTAGCCTGTTACTATTCTCTACTTGAGATCAGAACTCTACAGAAAGTGCTTCCCAAATAATTCCTGATCTAAGGTTTTAAAAACACAATAGCGACAGGTTTGCAGCAGCGTGGAGTATTTCATGCATTCTGAAGCCCTCACTTGCTTCAATTAAGAGCCTCTCTCATAGATAACTGTTGAAGAACAACATCTTTTATCTTGATTACATACATCAGTTCCCTTGACTGCCAAAAAACATTACATGGCTCTGTTTTATGGATTGGAGCTCCCCCTTGCTATCCCCCCTGCCTTTCAAAAATTGTTTTTACTTATTCCAGGGCCCAGCTACACTTGCTGCTAATCATGTGCTTAAAGAAGCATGCTTAACTTGCCCGTTTTTAGGGCTCCAGTCTGAAATACACGTCCAATCCAGATCAGTGCCCACCCAGCCCCTGGGCATTTGTCTTCTCTATTGAATATCACCCCCCCCCGGTTATTTGCCCCCAAATGTGCCGTGAACAGAAAAGTCATATGGAATCCTGGTGATTTTTTCTCTCTCAAACGGTGGCAGCCTGGCAAAGTATCTTTTTCTTATTTTAAATGTGACCATCGTCAAACGAAGGTGAGCGAGCCCTCAACCTTGTGTCACGAACAGTCTCAAAAGATTGTAAATCCACACTGCAATCCTTTACAGTTAAGGAGAAATTTGGTGGGGTTTACATATATATATAATTGTCAGCACTTCTGTTGATGACATTTCTTGTGTTTGTCAGTATGGCCCTCTTTAAAAAAGCTATTTTCCAGGACAGACTTCTGCCAGCCTGGTGCTCTCCATTTAGCTATGGGACTACAATAGCCATCAGCCACAGGCGGTGCAGTTCTGCTGCCTGGGGGCTGATGAGGAAAGACTAGCTCAAAACATCTTGAAGGCACCAGGTTGGCAAAAGCTGTTCTAGATGCACTGATCTAAGTTCCAAAAGGGGGGTGGTAGTTTGTGGAGGTTTTTTCCCCTTTTACGTGATAATTGTGCAGTCTCCTTTCTGCAATGCCTGGAAAGTGCACAAAGGGAGAATGTAATGCACAGCTGAATGGTTAGGAAGCCAAATGGCCAACCCTGATGAAGCTGTGATCGATTTCTGGTATGCCCACGGTTTTGCAGAATGACTGCTGTCCATATTGTAAATGGTATGTGAAAGTTCTTTATGAAGAGTTAACGGTGGACTTGAAAGCAGATATCCACCTGCTGTTAACCACAGAAATGCCGTCCATAATAAACTACACTAATAAGCATGCTGTTTTTGCGGTCTCTGTTTTCGTCGAACGTGAAACGCCTCCTCATTCGTAGGTTCCAGGCTCTGTGGCTTTGCTGGGCTGCCATCTCCTCCTGCCACTGCCCACCATTCTGCCATGCAGAAACCTTGTAAAAACCTGTCTGCTGTGTGGCCCGCGGCTTTGGGATTGCGTAGCAGGTAGAGAGCGAGGCTTCAGGAACGCAGCTTGACCTACTGTCACTTCTTGTTCCAAAGGGTGAGCAAAACCTGCCTTTTTGCACTACAGCCGTTGTGTAACGTTAGGCTGGCCTCAGCCGCTGTGAAAAAGGCGACGTCAAGCCTTGCCCTTTAGCCACTTGAGGATTACTTGGAGAACTTTTGAGGGCTGTACTTGCGCTCAAACTGGTCCACGTCAAACTTCCTCTTGCAGCCAGCATAGTTCATGTAGCGGATCTTGCCAAACACAGCCCGCTCTGCCCAGCCTTGGTCGTGGATCCCACAGATAGACCACATGCAGCCTGATGGGAGGGAAAAAAAGAACAAACAGGTCTCTGCTTTTGCACTCTTCCTCCCACCTTTCTCAGCAGACACAGAGACAGGTCTGGTGATTCCAGCTCCGCAGGGGGTTGGACATAATAATAATAATAATAATAATAATAATAATAATAATAATAATAATATATTATTTATACCCCGCCCATCTGGCTGGGCTTCCCCAGCCACTCTGGGCGGCTTCCAAAAGAATATTAAAATACTATAACACATCAAACATTAAAAGCTTCCCGAAACAGGGCTGCCTTCAGATGTCTTCTAAAAGCCTGGTAGTTGTTGTTCTCTTTGACATCTGGTGAGAGAGTGTTCCACAGGGAAGGTGCCACTACCGAGAAGGCCCTCTGCCTGGTTCCCTGTAACTTGGCTTCTCGCAGTGAGGGAACCGCCAGAAGGCCCTCGGTGCTGGACCTCAGTGTCCGGGTAGAACGATGGGGGTGGAGACGCTCCTTCAGATATACTGGACCAAGGCCGTTTAGGGCTTTAAAGGTCAACACCAACACTTTGAATTGTGCTCGGAAACGTACTGGGAGCCAATGTAGGTCTTTCAAGACCGGTGTTATGTGGTCTCTGCGGCCGCTCCCAGTCACCAGTCTAGCTGCCGCGTTCTGGATTAGTTGTAGTTTCCGGGTCACCTTCAAAGGTAGCCCCACGTAGAGCGCTCTTGGGGCCCGTTGCAACCCTATGACTCTATGATACAACCACCCAGCCTCTTCCCATGACTGACCTACGTATCCATTGGGGTCCCGGCCATCCAGTTCATAGCGGTCATTAAGGTAGATGGAGAATTTCAGGGCCTCCTCTGGCGAAGTGGTCCACTCCAATATTTTCTTGGCCCAATACATCCTCAGGAAGCCGTGCATCTTCCCTTCATGAACCATCTGGAGCTGAAGCAGAGGGATGGAAAGGTGGATGAGCTACGGATGGGGCCTTCTTGGGAAGTGCCACCCGCCCTGCGGAATGCCATCCCACCAGATGTCAAACAGATAAACCATCATATGACTTCCTGTATCAGGAAGCTTTTGATGTTTTGGTGTGTTCTTGGAAGCCGCCCAGAGTGGCTGGGGATGTGCTTATGGAACCAAAGGGGTGGTGGCCCCAAAAAGTGGGGTGCACTTTTAGATAAAAAGCGAGTAAAGGGGGGACTTTATGGGTATCCCATAGGGGCAGCTGGTTGGCCACGGTGAGAAGGAAGTTCTCCATCACCTCTTCCTGCTCCATCACTATTGTTCACACGCCCTTCAAGAGCAGTTCCCAGAGTGGGTTACAACAGTTTTAAATTCAGAATCAAAAAGAGTTAAAACTAATGACAGTCACAGGGATGAAGTGGGGCCCTATGCTCTTAACCCCACAAGCAGGAAATAAAAACAACTGTACACATTCAGAAACGGCCCTTCAGAAGGTAGGCTGCCACTGAACATGGAGGCTCACCATTTAGTTAGTATGGCTAAACATATTTATTTTTATGTATATAATTTTTATTTTATTTTCTGTTTCAGAATTTAAAATACGCATTTAAACATCCTTAAAATATCAACGACTTCCCTTCTTCTCTTTCCATGGTTCATTTTACATATCATAAATCCCTGCATATTTTACAAAAACTAAACCATTCAGTATTCCATTATTACATCCATCAAAACTTATTTACACTGCTGAATTTATCTTAATGCTGCCAACGTTTTCAAGTGTACACAATTATTTCCCATATATTCAATAAACGTTTTCCAATCTTCTCTAAACGTATGTTCTTCTTGTTCTCTTATTCTGTGCGTAAAATCTGCAAGCTGCGCATATTCTGTCAACTTTAGTTGCCATTCTTCTTTAGCTGGGACCTCGCTCGTTTTCCATTTTGGGGCTAACGAAACACGGGCCACAGTAGTGGCACACATAAATAACTTTTTTGACACCTGGGAATTTCCAACCCTAATCCCCCTTTAAAGCCATCTAATCCAGCGGCCATCACAACATCCGGTAGCAGAGATTTGTACCACTTAACAAGGTAGGGTGTAACTTTTCCATTCCGATCGAGCTGCTGCTCCAAAGAATTTTAGCATTATTGGAGAGGGAGATGCAGATCTCCAAGCACGTGACAGACACGTGCTCAGAAGCCAGCACATGCCCATCCAAAGACAGGTCCTCACACACCTTTGGAGTTTAGGTTTACCTGCGCAGCGTTCCAGAGAGGGTCGTGTGTCTTTCCTGCCTCCAGCTGTTCCAGTTTGTACAGGTGTGGTCGCTTGTCTTTGGCGTGCAGCTTCAGAGTAGTCTTGGCCCAGTCGTAAGCCCCTTTGAATGGTATAAGGCATAAAAGATTATGGTTAAAAAGTAATTGAGCCCTATTAAAATGCAGCATTATCATAAAGGTAAAAAGGTAAAGGACCCCTGGACGGTTAAGTCCAGTCAAAGGCGACTATGGAGTTGCGGCACTCATCTTGCTTTCAGGCCAAGGGAGCCGGCGTTTGTCCACAGACAGCTTTCCGGGTCATGTGGCCAGCAGGACTAAATTGCTTCTGGTGCAATGGGACACCATGATGAAAGCCAGAGCGCATGGACACATCATTTACCTTCCCACTGCATTGGTACCTATTTATCTACTTGCACTGACGTGCTTTCGAACTGGCAGGTTGTCAGAAGCTGGGACAGAGCAACAGGAGCTCACCTCGTTGCGGGGATTCAAACCGCCAACCTTCTGATCGGCAAGCCCAAGAGGCTCAGTGGTTTAGACCACAGCGCCACCCGCGTCCCTGCATTATTATATCACTAGTCACATGATATAAAATGTCGCAGAAGAGGTGTCCTTGCAGAGCAGAGAAAGGCAAAACAGGTGAGCCCATTTACCTTCCACCTTGTCATAGTTCGGGTTGTAGTAGCAGAAATTGTCTGCCAGCTCCCTCCGCACCACGGCCTCTTCAATGAAGGCTTCCGCCGATTCCTTGTACCGGCTACGGAGCTTGCGAACCTCCAGGATTGCTCTCTGTACAGAGATCTGACCTGTGGGAGGGCAGTTACTGTTCAGTGGGCTTCAGAGATGTTTGGAACTTGCAAGAGAGACTCTCCTGCAGGCCACAGCAATCTTCTGGGGGTTCCCTCCCTGCGAGAAGTGAGGTTGCAGGGAACCAGGCAGAGGGCCTTCTCGGTAATGGCACCCGCCCTGTGGAACACACTCCCATCAGATGCCAAGGAAATAAACAACTATCTGATTTTTAGAAGACATCTGAAGGCAGCCCTGTTTAGGGAAGTTTTTAATGCTTGATGTTTTATAGTGTTTTTAATATTCTGTTGGGAGCCACCCAGAGTGGCTGGAGAAACCCAGCCGGATGGGTGGGGTATAAATACATTTATTATTATTATTATTATTATTATTATTATTATTATTATTATTATTATCTACTAGGTGCCTAAGGGGTCTCTCTCAAGTAACCTGGTCTTGAGCTGTACAATTGCCATCTTCGTAGTCAAGGTAACGCCACTATTAATTGACAGTTGTTACAACGAGCTCATATATGCTTATATTCATGTGCATTGATATAAGCTAATTGCTTGCTTTTAAAGTTCTCCTTATCTGTGGAGTTTGGGGTCCTGGGCTGAGCCTAGAAAGGAGAATTATCTCTAAGATTTGGGTACCTGCCACCTATGCCCTCATGTGGGCAGGTGAAGTGATGGGAAGGCCTGGCCAAAGGGAATTATGCTGCTAGGTGTATAAAGAATGGATGAAGGTTTCCTTGGGTACGGACAAACCATCTCCTTGCTGCAGTGTCCATCCCATGTCTGCAAAGGCTGGGAAAATCGGAAGGCTGGCTTACTCTAACGCAGGGGTGAGCAAACTTTTTCAGCAGGGGGCCGGTCCACTGTCCCACAGACCTTGTGCGGGGGCCAGACTATATTTTGGAGGGGGGGAATGAACGAATTCCTATGCCCCACAAATAATCCAGAGATGCATTTTAAATAAAAGGACACATTCTACTCATGGACAAACACGCTGATTCCTGGACCATCCGCGGGCCAGAGTTAGAAGGCGATAGGGCCGGATCAGGCCGCCAGGCCTTAGTTTGCCTACCCATGCTCTAATGGATCACTCTGGCATCTTTGACATCCTTCTTTGGTACCCCTGCCCCAAATACTCCCTCCTCTGGGGCTGTAGATCAGGGCCACAATGTTGGTACTAAAACTTTGAATTTGCCCTGTAGCAATCTGGTAGCCAGAGCAGATCTAGCAAGCAAGGTGTTATATGCTGGCGCTGGTTTGTCCCACAGCCAACCTAGCAGCCTCCGTATCATACCCCAAGGGTAGCCCCACATGGAGCGCACTGCAGTAATCAAAAAATCTGTAAAGCCACAACCCTAAGTTTTGGAGTCCTCCTCTGTTCCTCCCGTCACAGCACAATTTCTAATACCAACGGAGATCTCTTTCAGATGCCGCTTCTTCTAAAGGCTACTACCAACCCTAAACTTTTGGGGCAGAGCGGAC